TTACTGTAGTTAGATAGAATCTTTGCCCAGTTACTGCACACACTTGAAATTTAAGTGGGTTTTCTTTATTGGTGGCTGCAGGTAAAATTTTAAAAGCACCTAAGTTACTTTGGTGCTTTTGATAACTTTGCCCCGCTTCAGATTCTCCCTCCAGTCGTTAGGTGGCTCTCTTTGCTATTAGTAATTATTTTCCTTTACTCTTCCAAGCATCTGTGTGATGTGCTGGCTTTTGTATTGTCTTGGTGAAATCCAAAACTGATGAGAATAGCTTAAGTGGGGCTCCAACTGACAAGTTACACTATCTTCCTTAGACTCAACATTTGCAGAAATACTCCGAGGTTAAAATTAAGATCCCAGATATATTTTCCAGAGCTTAAAATACTTTCTTTGCTGAGATGAATCGAATAAAATCATACAATAAAATCTCATGCTTCAGGGTGCAAGCTGGTTGTCTGCAGGGCTCTTGAAGGAATTTTTCCCTTTCTACGATTGGCCAGGTGTATTCTGGGTTTTTTCTTTGTATTGTTTTTGTTTTGTTTTGTTTTGTTTGCTATCTTCTAAAGCATCAGGGTTTGGCTGTAGCTGGAAATAAGGCACAAAATGAGGGTGCATTGAGGTGGTCAGGAGAATTCTCTTTCTTAGATGCTTGGCTGAGGAGTCTTGCTCACATGTTCAGAGTCTGGGTTAACTTCAGAGGGTTAAAATTTGGATCACAATCTCTGCTGGACTCCTGTGTTCCAGAGCCGGCATCTCCACTTTGGGTTTCATGGAACAGGAAATTATCAGAGTGCAGTTGTTCTCCACCATGTTTTTCAGTAAATAATAGATAGTGTAAAGCTGCATATGGGCACTGTCTCAGTTAACCAGCTCATTTAGGGTACACTCATTTCCGCTTATAGCCATTGCAGTCTGGAGATGACTGCAGGAAAATGTCTTTGTTTTTAGACTATTAGCTCTTCAGGCAGAGAGAGAAGCCTTTCTGTGCGTATGTTTAGTGCCTAGCACACTTGAGTACTACTGTAATGCTGACAGACCCCGGTTGTTGGCAGGCGTGATCGAACCTGGGACCACTGGCGCTCAATGCATGAGCTTCTACAGCATGAGCTAATAGCCAACTGCCTGTTAGTCAAGGCTGTAGCGCAGACTCATTTAACTCTCTAAGTCAGGGGTGGACAAACATTTTGGCCACATCGGATTCCGAAACTGTATGGAAAGCCGGGTAGGGAAGGCTGTGTCTCCCAAAACCGCCTGGCCCCTACCCCCTATCCGCCCCCTCCCACTTCCCGCCCTCAGAACCCCTGACCTTTCCAACCCTCCCCCCCCCAGCTCCTTGTCCCCTGACTGCCCCCTCCTGGAAACCCCCACCCCTAACTGCCTCCCTGGGACTCCACCCCCTATCCAACCCTTCCCTGTCCCCTGACTGCCCCCACCCCATCCACACCTCCCCCCCTTGACAGGCCCCCCGGGACTCCCACGCCTATCCAACCACCCCATGTCTCCTGACTGCCCCGGAGACTCCCTGCCCCTTATCCAATCTCCTCGCCCCCTTACCATGCCTCTCAGAGCACCAGGACTGGCAGTCGCAACGCCACGCAGTCTAGGGCACCAGGGCAGGCCGGTGGGTCTCGCAGCCGCGCTGCCCAGCACGTGCTCGCAGACCCGCTGCCCAGAGTGCGGGTGGCATGGCGAGCTGAGGCCACAGGGGTGGGGGGACATCAGGGGAGGATGAGAGCTCAAAGACCAGGCAGGAAGGTCCCGCAGGCCGTAGTTTGCCCACCTCTGCTCTAAGTGGTCTTGGTGCCACTAGATGGGACAGAACGCCACACCCAGAAGGTGTGTGGGTTACACTACAAATATAAATAATAATAGTGGATCATCTAGCAGACTCAGACAAAGAAATGAAGTGATGTTAAAGAGGGTTTAAATTTGTTAAAGCAAAAAGTGGTGATGTCCTGGATCTTCCTCACCCTTTGATGGGGAGCAGGAGGAGTTTATCATGATCTTTACCTTTAGACAAACTTAGTCATAGGTAGTTTGCCAGAAAAAAAACCAAACCAAACCACCACCACCACCACCAACAGTATGAAAATGAAGTTTCTACCAAAGACGATACCAAACTCACCACTCTCCAAAAAGAATCTAGCTGAAAACCACTTGCCATTTTCTCCCCAAAGGCACTATGGATCTTAACCCTAGTTAAGACTCTGGAGAGTCTATGTGCCATGGCCTCTTCTGAGCTGCTTACTCCTTTCATGATTCTCTGTGCATCTCTCAGTGCTGGTGGGACAGCCTCCAGGTGCTTGCTTTTTTTTTTTTTTTAAACCATATGCTTTCTCATCGCTGATACGGAGTACACAAACATAGCATTCTCAAGAAATTATGTCTTCACCGAACTTACTGTAAATTTAGCTTAAGTAGGTAGTTCTTATTTGTATGGTGGAGGTGCGTAGTGTATTAGGTGCAATGCTTTACCCTTTCGTAAGGAAAAGTATCAATACAGTATAGAGTTGCTTTTTCTTTTTTGTTCAGTACCTACATTGAATTGAAGTGGGGAATTTGGCATAGTACTTGCTGAGTTTTAAATATTGATCAATCACTCAGCATGCACTACAATTAGTACAGGTCTGTCTGCATAGCAACAGACGAAAGGGGATTGTCCAACACCGTATGATTCTAAATCGCCTCTTTGACCAAATTCATGTACAAATTCCAGACTCTGTTCTTGTCGCATCCTAGTGTATACATTTACCAGATAACAAATTCTGAACTCTGCACAGTAAATTAAGCCTCCCCTTCAGCCCTCCTCCTTTGAAGTGCTTGTCATCTTCTTCCATTGGTTTTTCCTAATTTCATTCAATTTTTATCTAGTTACTTTTCCTGTATCTCACTGATAACTAGGATTTATTAATAATTATTTTGGATTAAATGCTTACACTCTTTCTGTCCCTGGGAAAGTAATTCGTATATATTTGCGTCAAACTGCTTTGTAATATGCACTTGTTTGGTTTCTGTATCCATGTAGCTGACACCTTAGTCCAAGATACTGATTTGTAGTACAGTTGCTTCCGTTTCCTTTCCCTCAATTCTCAAAGTCAGCAGAACCGCCTCAGTTCATAGCTCCGGACTAAAACCAGTCATATATACTCAGAAAGGGAAGTCCCTCATCTCTGTTCCTAATACAAAGCGACTCTTCAAAAGGAAATGTTTTGTTTTTTTTTTAAATTAACCATTACTTACCCATTGGATTTTCATATAGACCATTTTAATAGGGATTCTATCTTCCCCAAACTGCCCCCCCCAACCCAATCCCCTACTATTAGTGGTCTCCTCACTATTGCCATCAATGGTAAGATTTTTGTGTGCAGCAGTATCTTGTACTGACCTGCTATTCCGGGGTGGGCAAACTGTGGCCCGTGGGCTGGATCTGGCCCACCAGCTGTTTTAATCTGGCCCTCGAGCTCCCGCTGGGGAGTGGAGTCTGGGGCCACTCCCGGAAACAGCAGCAAGGCCCTGCTCTGGCTCTTGCTCTGCATGCTGCCCCCTCCCCAAGCGCCATCCCCCCGCTCCCATTGGCTGGGAACTGCAGCCAATGGGAGCTACAGAGGCAGTGCCTGCAGACAGGGCAGTGTGCAGAGCTGCCTGGCCGCGGCTCTGCATAGGACATGGGGGGGACATGGCTGCCGTTTCCAGGAGCTGCTTGAGGTAAGTGCTGCCCGGAGCCTGCAACCCGGCCCCCTCCAGCGCGCCAACCCCCTCCTCCAACCCTGATCCCTCTCCCGCCCTCCAAACCCCTCAATCCCAGCCCAGAGCACCCTCCTGCACCCCAAACCTCTCATCCCTAGTCCCACCCCAGAGCCCGCACCCCCAGCTGGAGCTTGCACCCCTTCTCGCACCTCAATCCCTTGCCCCAGCCCTGATCCCCCTCCCATCCTCCGAATCCCTCTGCCCCAGCCTGGAGCCCCCTCCCTCACCCTGAACTCCTAATTTCTGGCCCCACCCTGGATCCCACACCCCCAACCAGAGCCTTCACCCCCTCCCACACCCCAATCCCAATTTTCTGAGCATTCATGGCCTGCCATATAATTTCTATTCCCAGATGTGGCCTTTGGGCCAAAAAGTTTGCCCACCCCTGTGCTATTCCCTTGTTGACCTTGGACCAGATTTTCTGTTGCATAGCAATTTGCACCAGTGCAAAGTGGTTGCAAATTATTGCCATTCTGATCTAGTAATGCTTACACCCAGTTTGCACTGATGCAAATTGCTACACACGGTGCAGGAATGAAGATGGGTCCCACAACATTCTTTTCCCTTTAGTGCTGATAGACTTATCTCATAGATACACCTATATTTTGCAACATCACTTTTTTTTTAAAAGGCAAATTTAAACATGAAGGGGTTTCAAGAGATGTTGCTGCTTTTTAAAAATAAATAAAAATAAATCCTGTATTTGTCTTTTTTGGAAACTCTGTTTTTACAGCTGGAATTAAAGGGAGGAATTTGAATGCATATATGTTTAGAGGAGAACTCTCTTTGCTAAACAGTCTTTCACAGCAAAGGATGTGACTTAGTGCCATACATGCAAACTGGGGATAACCCAGCAAATCCACAAGAACAAATTTTAAAATTGTGGCTAAATTATTACCATTAAGGTGCAAACTATACACTTGAGAAGGGGTCATTTTCATTTCTAACATTAATTGAAAGGAACATATGGGGAATGGGACTTGGAAAATCTGTTTTCATCAGAACTGAATTTTGGCTTTAAAACATGGAAAAGTGGGTTAAATGTATGCTAATTATGAGTTCTGCAGTGAACTGATTGCTGACTTGAGGTCTGCGCCTTTATCTGTGTGGTATGTTCTTTGAATTCAGCTTAATATAATATTTTAAATATTTTAAACAGCAGATGTGCATTGCTTAAAGATTTGCGTAGATGTTGATGCATGTGTACAGTATGTCTCCTGTACAATGATCTGTTGACATTATCCTCTGTTGCTTAGCTTCAGACAGTAAAGTCATGACATGTGCGGCTGTTTGGAGGATGCCGAAGGAATTGGAATCAGGCAGTCATGAATCCCCTGATGATTCATCAAGCAACACTCAAACCCTGGAGCTACTCTGTCACCTTGACAACACAGCCCATGGCAATATGGCCTGGTAGGATTCTGCATATTTTATATTCCCAAGAAAAGCCTAAAGCCCTGTGCTGTTAGTTTTGTGCAGTTTTATATTGCAGAAACTGGATTACAAACTTTAAAACTATTCTATCTTAAAAAAAAGGTACAAATTGATTTCTTGGTCCCAGATGTTTCATAGATTAAAAACATGTATTATAGTCCTTGCAAAAACACATGCTGTAAAAGCCTGTGTACTGTTTTGCTGTGCCTTCCCCCTTTCATACAAGACCTTTGTTGCACACAAACAGGTGCTCTACTTAACATTTTAGTCTTTGTACAGAACATAATTTTGATATCACATTTTTATCTTTGTTTTTCTGGCTGCATTTTGCTCTATTTGGTATAAATATAAGTAAATTATTGTTTATTGGGGGGAGATTTGATTATGTTCCATGGTTCCTCTTTATTCTTTTCTGTCAACTAAAAATTTGTAATGAGGGCTGGATTATTGCAGTGTGTTATCATAGAGGTTCTTTTCATTATTTGATTGAGAGAGTGAAATTTGCTCACCGTATATTCATGAGCACCTAGCTGTGTGGGTATCTATATAGCATGTTTCTGTGCAAGGCAACAGAATGTTGACACTCAGCCCATAGGTCATAACAGCCTGGTTTGGCATCTTCAATGACATCTGGGCCATTTTCCACTCTTACACCAGCAAACGCAGTACTAATCGCAGGAGAACTCTCTGCACTGGCTAATATTTGTGTGTGAGCCAGACCATGGAACGAAGCACCATGATCTCAGAGTGTACAGACCCCTTGCACTACCACCACCAAAGAACTTTGAAGATATCACCCAGAAAAGGGTGGAATGAGGAGGGAGAGGATGAGATATGGGAATTGAGAGATATTGCATCATATGTACATACATTGAATCTGGACAATGCAGCATAACACACTTATGCAGTGTCAGGTGTTGCTCTATGACTTTCTTGTGGGAGTCTATTGAAATTGCATCAAAGAAAATAGCACTTGGATTCAACCCTATTTCCTCAAATTCTCCGCTTCCTTTTAGACCTTTTTGTAAGACAGGGTTTAAAAAGTTCCTGTCCTGTGTTAGAGGTGAAAGGTAAAGCTGGAGAATAGCCATCAGCAGATCTCCCCTCCTGCTGGCTTTCTCCAGTCAGTTAGAGGACCCAGCGTGGGTTAGTCTCACCTCTACCCACTTCCCAAACCCCACTAACTCTCTGAATCTGTACCACTGCTGTCTTGGGGAATGTGTTATCCTTCTGTTTGCAATCCTTTGTTTAGCTTTCAAGCCTTATATCTAAGACAAATATAATTTAAACTTCAAGTTAACATTTTGTGAGGCCCTATAAAAATTGCTTGACTAATTATTTTTATATATCTATTCATTTTGCAATTCAGTCAAAAATTATCACATTTTCAACGGGATTTATTGTTTATAAACCCAACCTATTATTTTTGGTTTGTTTATTTTTCTTCTAATTTTTTTCTTAAGGCCATATTGTGGAAACCCAATGAGACTACGTGAGTGATTAGGTGCTCACTAGAGTGTGCTCACTACGGTGTGCATTGGTTCCAAAGTTTTGTCCTTAATCTGTGTGTCTGTTATTTTTTTAAGGAAGTGCCTGGGTAGTAAACCTGCAAAGTTTGGATTCAGACTTTTTCAGAGTTGGTGTGGGTACTGTTTGACGCACTGAGGGTGGGCAGGCACAGGCCTACCCAAAACAAAAGGCCTTCCCCCTCAATTAAGAATGAGGAACCACTGGACCCAGGCATCAGGTGGTTACATCAGACAACAAATGAAAAAAACAGGATCAGGCGTGAAGTCAGAGGGTAATAATGAGGGATTGGGGGGGATGGGGACGCACGAAGCAGAGAATGCCAGACAGCTTCCACTGCTCCTTAAAGGAGTCTAAGGAGTCAGTGGATGCTCTTCAGAAGAACTCTGTGATATGTGAGCAGATAAGGCACAGGAATTAGGCCACAGTCACAGAGCACCCGTGCCCCATTCAGCTTCCTTCTCCTACTATGATGGATGGCTGACTTGGCCAGCACCAGGAGGAGGTTGATTATGAGGTCTCGTGACTTTCTGGGCCCATGGATGGGGTGTACTGAGATAAGGAGGTATGGGTGACAGTGCAGCCAGGATATCTGTAAGAGGTTCTAGTGGAGCCAGAAGAGGGTCTACAATCTGACACACCTTACATAGAAGTATGCCAGAATCTCCCTCTGGCCACAGAAAGAACAGGTGTCAGGGGAGTTCTTGAACCATGCCAGGTACATGCCTGTGCTCATGATTCCATGAAGGAGCCATCAGCTAGTATCCCAGGAGGGCAGTAGAACCAGAGTGAAGTACAGACTGGTCCTCCTTAGGTGGCAGCAGGTCCTGCCACTTGGTGTCAGGGTGGGACACCAGGGCAAAGATGTGGATGGTGTGAAGCATGAGTGAATACCGATTGTTTCCTGGGTGTGTTTCAGAGACAGATCGGCTAGATGGTGTTCAGCCAACTGAGGTTGCGGGACAAGGGCCTGAAGGCAAGGTCTGGAGGGCCAGTTGGTGTGGGTTCAGTTGGGGTTTGGGTGTGGCTTTGGTAATTTGTATAGGGGGTTTCAGTTCAGAATCGCTTATAATTAGTTTAGTAAGGATTAAAACTAATAAATAGTACTGTATTTAAAGACCTCCTTCCTTGTAAGTAACTACCCAAAGGTATCCCTAATCATTTTACAATGTTAAATTACCTTTATTAATTGAACACCTCTCTAGTTTGACCAGAGACCAACCAGAATTGGTCCCAGATAGAGTAGCATCCTGTCCTGAGATCTCCACTGAAACACTTTGGCCTTCAGTGCCTATACAAGTATACACAAAAAACTGGTGTACAGGGGACTCTGCACTTTGCATCATTCAAAATATTACTTTTAAGGTTTTATTCTGAAACACAAGACAGTGGTTTTTTAATTTCATCCACATGTAGGTTAACTGCCAAGCAGAAAACAATGTGTTGACAAGTGCCTATTTAGACGTTTAAAAATCTGTTTTGTTGTTTAATTCAATATTTGTATTTTAGGTATTTTGTAAAACTAAGTGGCTTGTCCAAAATCACTCCAAATATTCATGGAAGAACTGGGATTAGAATTTACCTTTAACTACAAGAACATTCTTCCTTCATTTGAAGAAAACCAAAGTATTTAAAAATCATCATGAAAATGCATGAGAAACTTTTATAGTCAAATGGGTCACTTAAATTAAGGAGGCTGATTCTTTGGTTACATAAATGTCATGTTAATCATTCAGATTGCTGGCTGTGGCTGTCTGGACTACCGGGTCAATGTTTCATTCCAAAAACACGAACTCCTGCTGGTTTTAACTAAAGGTTTTATATGCTCTGTAGTCCAGCTATCAGAGGCAATGTGATTACACCCTCTCTGAGCAGTCTGGCACTCCGTCCAGGTTAGTTTGGGGTTTCGGGGGGATGGGAGGGGGGAAGGGAGTCGTTAACTGAATCATAACAGCTCTTGAAATTTCACATTTGAGGTGATAACAGATTTTAAAAGTTTTTTTTTTTAAGTCAAGTTTTGAAATGAATGGTTGGAATGAAGATTAGTAAGAAGATTGCAATTATCAAATCTCTTTATCTGCATTTTATAAGGAAAAGAGAAGGAAAGAGAGAAATTTAAATTTAAAATGTGCATGTAGCATTACTATATTACCAAACTCCCCTGTTTTTCACACTGTCCTTTTCTTGCCCATGTTTTCTCCTTTCACTGTTCCCATTGTATCCTGCTCCTCAGGTTCTTTTCTCTACAGCTAATTTTCCTATGTTCATTTCCTGGCGAAGGCCTTTTATAGTTAGAATATTGTCTCTGGTATTATTTATATTTCTAATACTGTGTATTCTAGAAATACTTGGGGGTGGAGGTACGGGGTGAGAAGGGAATTATTTCACTGCCAGGATGCTAGGTATTCATTTTATTTCACTGACCATTCTTTCTTTTAATGTTTTAAGAAGACGTGACAAGGACACTGGCACATAGATTTTCAAAAGTGAAATGAGGTAAAGAAGATACAAAGAAATGCAGAATTCGTTTTTTGAACAATCACACACACCATATAATACACCCACTACAGTGTGTATTTTCTTCTGAGCCAAGACAAAAAAAGAATGCCTAATGTGTGATGACAAAAATTCTAAATTTTTCTTACCTGTCTCTGAGCTTCATGTGTCCTCTGCTCAAAGACTTTTGGAATATTTTTCCGGTCATATCCTGACAAAACTAACCATGACATCTGTGGACAAAGACATTTGGAGCTCTTCTTGCCATGCGTATTATCAGTACTTGAATACCACCAACTGCTATTCATCTGCAGTTTACACGAATCTGTACTGCTGCTAAGCTTCAATGTATCTTGGAGTTAGCAAAATTCTTACTCTAGATATAGCAGGCATTTGAATGAGCAGGGAGATGAATATGAACCCCACTTCAAAAAAAAACAAAAAAACATTTAAGCATGTGTTTATTTTTAAACTTGTGAAGTTCTGTTAAGTGCTTTGCTAGTTTGGGGCATAAATAACGTAGGTCTTTTCCACCTATAACTTCTACAGTTTTATAATAAGTTTCCTCTTTTCTAGATGTACTTCTTATGTAGGGGTGGGCAAACTGTGGCCCGGGGGCCGCATCCGGCCCTTCAGACATTTTAATCCAGCCCTCGAGCACCCGCCGGGGAGTGGGGTTGAGGGCTTGCCCTGCTCTGTGTGTGTCGTGGCTCCCGGAATCAGCGGCATGTCTCCACTCCAGCCCCTACGCATAGGGGCAGCCAGGGGGCTCCGCACGCTGCCCCTGCCACAAGCACCACCCCCGCAGCTCCCATTGTCCGGGAACCACGGCCAATGGGAGCTGCAGGGGCGCTGCCTGCGGACAGGGCAGTGCACAGAGCTACCTAGCCAGAGCCTGAACCTCTGACCCCCCTCCCACACCCCTGTCCCAGGCCTGATCCCCCTCCTGCCCTTCG